GTTCTAGTCGCGGTCGGGGCGCTGGATTCTGTCCCGGTTGCCCCTCTTCCAGGCCAGCTCTCTGCTGTGGCCCGGGAGTGCAGTGGAGGATGGCTTGGGCCCTGCACCTGCGTGGGAGACCAGGAGAAGAACCTGGCTCCTGGCTTCGGATCAGTGCGGTGCGCTGACCACAATGCCGCCGACTGCAGCGGCCATCGGAGGGTGAACCAACGGTAAAGGAAGACCTTTCTCTGTCTCTCTCTCTCTCTCTCACTGTCCACTCTGCCTGTCAAAAAAAAAAAAAAGTTATTTTTAAGAGAATGCCAACGTCACCTCGATACATTTAGAAAATTAAGTCTGAAGAAATAAATGCACGCTCTAAATAAAAACACGAAGTGCATGACAGCACGCGGGAACTGCAGACATGGTGCACATCATGCAGGTGGCGCTTGGAAAATACGGTACCGTATTATCTGCCGCGAGCGCAAGACAGTCAGCTAGGGGCCAAGTGAGCGTCTTGCCTCCTTTGTTATTTTTTTCCCCTGCAGCCAGCTCAGTGCTTGAAAAAATGCTTGTTGAGCTCGGCTCAGCCCGGCTCAGCCCGGCTTAGTTAATTGAGTTAGGGCGAGCTGAGTCGCATTGAGTGCACCAGCTGGTGGGCCTGGAGGCGGTCCAAGTGGAAGACGTTGAGAATTCACGCTAATTCAATAAGCCGCCGCCACGTAACGAGGCTCGGTAACGAGACCGGTGCCTCTCCTCACCTGACTCACCTGCGTTGCGTGGGCAGCATATGAGCCGTGCCCACATGCTAATACAGCAGTTTGCTCCCTGTAATCCCTTCTGTGTGTGAAGAAACGAGAGAGAGAGACAGAGAGAGAGGGAGGGAGAGAGAGAGAAAGGAAAAGACAGGCTCAGCTGGAGGCCCCTGTGAAATAGACAAAAAGGGCCTGAAGCCGGCAGAAACTTTCTGTCCTTGTACAGGAACTGCCCACGACCGGCAATGTTCTGCCAAGTGCTCGCCGCACGTCGAGTGCAGCAACGTCATTAGGAGCGCCTTCTCGCCGGCGTTGTGGCACAGCGGGTCAGGCCCCCACTTGCGACGTCAGTGTCTCCCATCAGGCAGCCTGGCTCGAGCCCCAGCGGCTCCACTTATGACCCAGCTTCCTGCTGATGTGTCTGGGAAGCCACAGAAGGCTGGCCCAAGTGCTTGGGCTCCTGCCCCCACGTGGGAGACCCTGAGGAAGCTCCTGGCTCCTAGATTAGGCCTGGCCGAGCCCTGTCTGTTGCAGCCAATTGAGGAGTGACCCAGGGGTGGGAAGATCCATCTGTGAGACTGCAGGTGTAAAGGGCAGCCGGTGGAGATCCAGAGCCGCGGTGTCGCAGACTTGGGAGGCACTATGTGGCCGCATGGCCTTGGTCCAGTCCCTGCCTCTTTCTGAGCTGTTCTGTGAATGGGTGGGAAGACAAGGGCTCCAGAAGTCACTGGTTTCAAGCTGGGGAGGCCTCTGTTTAAATAAATGTGCGTGGGGGCCTGGGGTGAGGCACTTGACACAGCCCATACCAGAGTGCCTGGGTTCAGGTGCCAGCGATGGCTCAGGGGGCGGGATCCCTGCCAACCTGTGGGAGTCCCGGTTGGAGCTCTGGGCTGGCCCAGCCCCCATCGTTACAGGCATCTGGAGAGTGAACCAGCTGATGGGAGCTGTGTGTGTGTGTGTGTGTGTGTGTGCCTTTTGAGTAAATAAAACAGCAGGCATACATGGGAACTGAATATACAAATGGACACAAGAACCGTGGGCTGGTTGGACGGGGCGTCCCATAGCCACAGGGCCCCAGCAGGGGACCAGCAGCGTCCAGGAGGCACGATTTGCAATCTCTAACAACTGGACTGAGTTTGTGCAGCAGCGGTGGGACTGGAGGCAGAGCAGGAACTGGGGCAGGCGGGGTCCCGAGGTGGCCCCAAGCAGGAAGACCAGGCACCACGCAAAGCCGTAGGGCAGGCCCGTTCTCCCCTTTGTGACAAGAGCACCCTGGCTTTTTTTTTTTTTGGGTGGGGGGCAGCTCATTCTCACTCTGACCGTGGGCTTTGACTTGGTTTTGGCCGTGACTGGAGCCTGGGCCCTCAGCTCCTTCCATCCCCTGGACCAGAATCACCACCGGTAAAACAAAGGGGAGCTGAGATGGTCACAGCTCACTGGCCCTATCCCCAGGACTTTTACCAAAGCCATCAGGAGGAAGGTTGGGTTTCACCCTGGAAAGACTTAAGACAGGTGGAGCGAGCCAGTCTGCACATGAGGCCAACACAGGGGACCACAGAGCCCAGGAGATCACAAGAGGCAGATTCCTGAAGACAGAATTGCAGGCCTGGATCCAGCCATGCCTGAAGCTTTCAAAGCCCCTGCTTCTCAGCTGAATAATCCAGTACCTTTCCAATCTGGCTCAAGTCCACCGAAGCTGGGACTCGGTCACTTTGCAACCGAACCTCATGATCAATACACATGGGCAAGTGACCGAACATTAAGTTTCTGTTTCCTCGCCTCTCAGGCGTCTCTGGATATCTACAAACCTTACCTGTCAGAGGTCTATGAACACGTGTCATGTCAGCAGCCACAGGACGTTAGCCACCTTGAATTAGCACATTTGAACATTTGTTAGCTTTAAGGAGCCCAAAACAAGGATTGGTTAATATCAGTACACCTTGTTCTCTAAATGAGGGTGGAAGGCCACATGTATGCCCCATTAAAATCACAAAACGGAGACAGCAGGAGGCCACGCGGCAGCCAGGACACACCAGGGGTGTGAGCGAGGCCCCTCTTTTGGAGTTTTCTGCGATGGGGAGCGGGTGTTTGCAAGTGGCTGGGTTCCCATAGCTCTGAAGCCGGGGCCGAGCCTGAGCAAGGCCCCTCCGTCTCTTGAGGCCAAGGCAAGACCACCTGACCCCTGGTTATCTTAGGAGCAGAAGGCTTGGAGGCCCAGGCTCCACCGCTGTATAGCACAAGAGAGCTCGCAGCCAGCCTCGCTCGCGGGCCAGCCCCGTCCCTGGCTCTCACCCGCAGAGTGGCCCGGGAGGGCTGTCCTGGGGACTGTTTGGGAACGCCACTGCGGTTGACTTAAGAACACTTGAAATCACAGCCATCGGACAAAAGTGCCACCAGAGGGGGGGATTTCCCACGGAATTTTTTTTTTTTTTTTTTTTGCAGTCACTCAAATGTTTCATTTCCCGTTGTTCGCCAAGCCTCAGCGGTCAGCTCTATGGCAAACACGGGCTGCTTTCCACCCAGGACTCCACAGTGCTGGCACTGGCAGCCCCTTTGTGTGGCGAGGCTGGTGTTGGCGGGGCTGTACCGGCTCGGCCAGGGAAGAAGGGTCTGTGAGTCGGACAGCAATCCGAGCGGGGGAGCGGCCCGCGTGGCTGCCACCTCATTCACGTTTATAGAAAGAAGTCTTTTCATCCAGCTACGCGCGATGCATCCCTCCCGGTTCACTCTGCAAACATGAACTTGAATCGCTTCTTTTCCTGACCCACACTGTGTCAATGGAATTCTAACTTGTATTCCATGCATTACTGTTCAGAAAAGATCATCCTGATTGATTGATTGATAAACTGAAGAGCACCTGGTTCTAATACTTTTTTAAGTTGTATGGGTGGGGGTTGGGGGAGAGAGGGAGAGAGGGAGAGAGGGAGAGAGGGAGAGAGGGAGAGAGGGAGAGAGGGAGAGAGGGATCCTCCCCATCGACTGGGTCACTTCCCAAATGCTTCGCAGTTCTGCAGCTGGAGCCAGAGCTCAGAACACAATCCAGGAATCCCACGGGGTGGAAGGAACCTAATTAACGTGAGCTTCATTGCTGCATCCCAGGTCTGCCCTGCTGGGAAGCAGGAGTCAGAGCCAGAGTCGGGTATCAACCCCAGGACCCCCGCGTGGGACCCAGGCATCTTAACACCAGGCTAAACGCCCTCTCCGTAAAGCCACCTGTTCTGAGGCCAGCACTGCACGGGGCCTTTGGGGGACCCCCACAGGCACGGGCCACCGTGTGGCTGGGCGCTCAGTCCAGGGATGTTGAGCTGTGGGGTAAGCAGGTGTTCTGGGCAGACAGGTATGTGGGCACCTCCATTCCACACGGTCCGAGTGCACGGTGTGTGCACAACGCCAGGCAGGGCTGGGGACCCATGGCATCACCTGCTCGCCTGGCAGGAGGAACAGATGGTTCCACTGGCAAAAGTTTACGCCGGGGGCACTTGGAATGTCACCTGAGCAGCACCTGTACTTGCAAACAACCTTTCTTTCTTTAAAAAAAAAAAAATTATATTTGAGAGGCAGAGGCAGAGAGAGAGAGGTCTTCCTTCTGCTGGTCCACTCCCCAAATGGCTGCAATGGCTGAAGCTGAGCCAATCCAAAGCCAGGAGCCAGGAGCTTCCTCTGGGTCTCCCATGTGGGTGCAGGGTCCCAAGGACTCGGACCATCTTCTACTGCTTTCCCAGGTCATAGCAGAGAGCTGGATCGGAAGTGGAGCAGCCAGGATTAGAACCAGCGCAGGCGGCAGCTTTAACCTCTATGCCACAGCGCCTTCCACAGGGCAGAGGTGACCCTAGCAGCCAGCTTCATTACGTAGCCACCCCAAGCATTCGTTCAGGACGGCGCCAAGGATGTGCTGAGCGGAGGCGGGTGTGGGGGATGCGGCAGGGAGCCCATGCCCAGTTTGCTTTTTTGGGGGTTCCCCTTCTAGGGAGGCAGGGAGCCACCGCCCAGAAACATTTGTAGGATCAGAAAGACAGGAGCAGCGGGACACAGGCTGAGCCTGAGCCTGCCCCTCGCTCACCCAGTTCCCCTGGATGCCAGGGGCAGTAGGGGTGCAAATGTGGGTCGTGAGGTCTGGGGGCCCCCAGAGCCCTGTCACTGCACCCCAGCAACACCACGCCAGGCGCTCAGGACTCATCTCCTTGGTCCCCCGGGGGAAGGAACCCAGACCTGGGGAAGGGTGGCTGGTGTGAGGTCACACGCCCAGGAGTCCAAGGCAGAAGCAGAGCAGGGCAAGGCGGCCATTTATTTACCCTGAGCCGCACTGCAGGACAGTGCAGAGCAAACACAAGTGGGAAACCCCTCCAGGAGGGAAAACGGGCAGGTCTCAGAAAGCCGGGATTGCAGAAGCCTGTAATACAGAGCGGGAATCCAGCTCACGTCTCTGCCAGGGGCTTTCTGAAGCCGTGAGGACCAACATTGATCAGCACCGCGGATGACACCCCAGCCATCACGGTATTCCTGCAAAAGAAAGCCCATTTTCCAGATGAGAAGACCGAGTCCCTGCTGCACCCAATTGCACAGCAGCAGGACCAGGACGAAAGCTCCAGCAGCTGCCCGGCTCTGCCCCGGGGGAAGCTGGATGCCTGGGGAGGTGGCCCTGCTCACCCACTGTGTCGACTTCCCCGAAAGACACCCCCCCCCCCCACGCCCGGGGCTTTGTCCTGCGCAGGCCCGCGCGGCACCATAAATGCAGCCTGGGAGTGCGGCGGCCGAGCCAGGCAGTAAATGATGGCACTGTCGGTCGTACACGACTGTGGGAACAAACGTAGACCCTAATCACCGTGCTGTACCGGTAGAGACATTTGGCAAATGAGATTCCATTTTCACATTGGTTTGTGCTGAGCATATAAATTTCCTGCGGGCCGGCCAGCGTTGGGGATGTGTAATTGATTGCCTGCATTATAATAAACAAGCCGTGACAGGTGATCGTTCATCATATCCCGCTCAACGTTCCAGCGCACCCACAAACGGAGGGGGCGAGGGGACGGGGGCGCGGCGCGCGGGGTGGGGGTCGGAGGATGGCGAATTCCCGACAGACAGCAAGCAGATTGTGTAGGCAGTAGACAGTCTGCCTTCGCTCCTTAGGGCAAACACGAACTTCAGATTGTGGCGAGAGAGCAGCGTCACTGAAATGAGCTGGGATGCATAAATAGTAATCGGACGTGTTGTTTCTTTTTTTTTGTTT